TCCATTATCAATAATTTGCAGCTCATTCTTCACGATTTCAATAAGAAAGTTTCACTTTTAATACAACCAATTGAAAAACATGAACGACTTGAATTCATCACTAAATTTTGATTTGTTACGAAAATATAATAGTTAATCTAATAGTTAATCTCACCAAAAACGTAAATTTCTGCTGACTGCTGAGGTTTTCCAGTGGTTCTGATGAAAATTTGATCGTTGCATAACAGTCACTCATCCGTTTAAAATTCAGAAAAAAAAGAAGTACCGAATCAAAATAAACACAAGCATAAAATTTCATAATCGAACCAAGTGCTCACCTCACCAAGCATATGCGTTTTCATTTGAAGTAAAACGTGGTTGAAATCATGCGTTTCACGATATCGCTGCATCACATAAACCAAATCGTCATCATCGACATACTTAAAAAGACCATTTTGTTTTTCAGTCGAATATTTGCAACGAAACGGCTCAAACACAGATTTGAATTAACTCGAGCACTTCTGGTGAGTTATTTGCAGAATAATTTCATTTTAAAAGTTCTGTCAATGTTTTGATACAAACGAACTACATAAGGAACTTCTGAGGAAAACAAATTTGCAAATGACTCTTATAAAGACAACATGAAAATCATTAACAGTCAATTTTTTCTTCAAATCTCACGGCTGACGTACGCTATTATCAGACAATGAATATTAATTTACTCCAAATAACGGGCTCGAGTCCCCAATCCTCTTCTTAAACTACGTCTTAACTCGTTCATGAAGAGTAATACATCAGCATGATTGTGATGAGCAAATAATTGAAAATGATCACGTTGCTAATTTATTCCCTCACAAATTTTTGTGAAATCCGGAATCGACAGAAAGCATATGTTTCCACTCTATTGCAGTGTTTTGCAAATAAAAAACTTCACAAATGTTATACAGCAACCAGCATCTGCTTCTTCTATATAGAATCCCACTTTATTTAAAAAATATTAGAGCATTTTCGCACTGCTTCGTTTTGCTAATTCAGACAATTTCAACAGCCATTCCACAACCATACGTTATGTGCAATACAATCATTACGTTGCGGTATCGCATGTCGTTGATTATAACTACTGTACTTATTTCAGTTGTTTTCGTTTTTGATATCGTTTGCAGATATGGACGTTTAATATTAAGATGCATTAAACAGGCAAATAAATGTGCCCTGGAATGATTATATGGGAACTGCAGTTATGGACATATGGGAATAATGCGGATGAACATTTTACGACGTTTTTAATTAATGGTATTCCAAATGCACGACATTATCGGAAAGTGTTGCAGAAGAACTTAGTGACAATGTTTCATTAGTCTTGAATTGAATCAAAACATTATGGTTTTACGATTTGGCTAGCGTTTAAATGACAACTGAATGCGGGATGAGAAGGTGTCATTTGAATGCAGAATAAAATATAAAAACGTAAATTGTTATCGACTCGATACAAACAATTCTGAGTGAATGACCTTAACGGGAGGTCTCGCGTCCGGTTCTGTATGCAGTTCATCCAGAAACTTGTAGTATTCTCGGCCCAATGTGCCATGAGGCAACGATTTCAGATAATCACGATCAATCGTTTCGTTTGTGATTCTTGGACGATCTCTGCAAATTGTTACATCAATGTCAAATCACCTGATGATTTGAGAGTCCTCGATTGTCAACGTAATCAAAGTAAAATTGCCGCATCAAGACGATTTCAAATTATTTAGGAATCAAATTGCAAACAGCGAAAACAAATAAAAATGGATAACAGAGAATAACAAAACTAAAATTCGAAATGCAATAACGGGATAAGAGAGAGGATTAGGAATTAATATGATATAAAAAGCCCTGATTAAAAATTAAAAAAAAAACAATTTGTTGGAAATTACTGCAAAGGAGAAGAGTTGTGGATGGATATTTGAAAACGCAATCTTCAAATAGCTTTTCATAAAATTTGGAAGGTGAGCCTAAAAACTAATGAGTCAGTAAACTCATTAGTTCTTTTTAAAATAAAAATAAACATTACCTGAGCAAACGATTTCCAACAACGTCTTGCTCCATTCTTCGACGAATATTCTCCAGAATTGGTCTGAATGCCGTCACCTCACCCATTGCTGCCACCATATCTGCAACACTCTATGAACCGTCTTCAAATGCACCATAACCGTTCACAAAGGGCCCAACTTGTCTCTACACGTTTCGTTGAAAAGCATCATTGAAACCAACATTATTTACTTTGGTTTCATCTCAAAAACTTTGCACAGAAGAGTTGAAACTCTCATCTTATACGGCAACATGAGCGCATAGCTCAAATTTGTTTATTACACGCAAAAACGGATGAAATACAAAATTTGTTGTCCGTTGCAGCAAATGAACAGGGAATGGAATGTATTTTCAAAAGTATGAATTATAATAGGTTGGATCATTTCATCATTTCAGAACACAACGTAAATTCAGAGGCTTATTT